TGGTCCTTCGTAAATAATGTTACTCAAATGAGGATTAATTGATGGTATTTGAGTTTTTTTTTTCCATTAAATTTAGAATTAATTTTTAAAATGATCATTTATAATGAATTGCTTTCCAAAAATGGTTTTTCTAATTAAAGATGTGCATTTGATTTGAAATTTAAAAGATTTTTTTAGGTTTTAAATAATTAATGAATTATTTATAGTCCATGTATTTTTAAAATTTTACATTTAGTTGTGTAAAAATGACTGTTTCGAGAATATATACTTTACATTTGGATGATCAAAATAACAAAATATCTCCCAATTAATCATCATTTGAGTAACATTATTTACGAAAGACTATCTTGGGAATAGATCTAAATCATAGAGGACTATGTACGCAATTAAAATTTATTGAGGACTGAATTGGAAAAATACCTTATTACAAAGGACCATTTTGGGAATTTACTCTTATTATTATTATTTTATTATTATTATTATTATTATTATTATTATTATTATTATTATTATTATTATTATTATTATTATTATTGTTGTTGTTGTTGTTGTTGTTGTCATCACGTTATCTTAATACATGCTTTTAAGATTTAAAAAAATATTGTTATTTTTCATACACAAAAAAAAATTACTTTTGCAAAAAAAAATTATTAGAATATAAAATTAGCATAAATATAAAAATGTTAAATATTTAAAAGTTATTGTGGCTACGCTGCACGTCACTCTATTTATGCAATATTTATCATAAAATAATATATTTGTAATTATACTTTATACATTAAAAGATTTTGTTTTAAATATCAGACATGTCACATAATGTAATCAAACCTATTTTTTCTTTAATGATTGATTTTTTTTCATTATAACCCTACTTTTGGAATAAAGACATAGAACCTTTTTTATACATTTTTTTATGTTTTACTTCTACCGAGGCAGCAAACAACGGAAGCTACGCCCTAGATGATGTTGTTTGACGAACAAACTAAAGATGAAATGAAACAGTTTAGAGATGAAATAACAGTTAATATTCTAAATGCAGTTAAGCTTAATTGAAGATACTAAATACGGAGTATAGTTTTTTACAATATGATTATGTTGAAAATGATTGGATTATGTACATCCATATGCGCAATATTTTACATATTAGAGACAATAAAAAGTAGATCAAATAAACGAAAGTATAACTTTGAACTTGGCTTCGCCAATATTTATAGTGCATTCAACACAAACAAGCGTCTGCCACATTCGAGTCGAATCTGACTTGGCTTATATAACCTGCGCCACAAGACTATTGATTCACACATGACCAACAATTAGTTTTGCTTCCCCATTGTAATAGTGTAGTAGTGCTCCACTAGCACTAGTAGTTCCATAAATCATTCTACTCGATTTAAATTTCAAAAGTCTGCTTTTTGTAATTTTGGGTTGTACTTCGGTTACACTACCAAAGTTCTTTCATATTATGGGGCTTGACCCGGAGGCGTCACGGCCCGTTAGTCTGTTACAACGTGACCACCGCGACACGGTGGGGGTGACAGAGGTGTGATAAAATGGACTTGAAGGTTTCCCGTCCCCTCTTTTTCTTTTTTTATTTTTTTTTATTTCAAACCAATCAAAATCAAACGCATATTCATAGCTCATCACTTTCCATCCCACTCACCACAAGACACATATTTTCATTACTCCACATCATACATCTTTATACCCGTCCAGCCCCGTCAAATCCAGCATAGCACATGGCTTAAAGTTGCGCTGCTTAATTTTCTTAATTAAGTTAACTTCAACATTTGTTATTTGCTGTCGTCACCCAGCTGCTTATATTTACTCATGTGATATATTGATGTTAGTGCTATTACCTTGTTTGTGTATAGTAGTTTAGTATGGGTTAGGTAGTTAGGATCTAGATCTAGGTTTCTTGCAAAATTTAGGATATAGCTTTGTGGTATTTATTTTAGTAGTACGAATAAGGACCATGCTACACTTACACCAAAAAATATACCCCATTTGTACACCACAGCTTTGCACAAACATTTCGATGGTTTACACCGACACAAATGTTGGTGCGTTAATAAAAATTCACACGGACACAAATGTTGGTGCGTTTAACAAAAATTAGTTTTACACCAACACAAAATGTTGGTGCGAAACTGTGGGGTACAAATTGAGGTACAAATATTGGTGTACACATAGCATAATCCTACGAATAATGTGGGTGAAAGAAATACCGGAGTATCATTATTCAAATTTTTTATTGAATATGCATGACACCACTAGGTAACTAACCAAAATTAAGCCTTCACTTGTCATCCCTTAAAAATTGTTCTATTTTAACTTTTAAAAAATTTAAGAGTCTGATATTTTTGTGTTGATTTTCTAAAAATATCTTTGATGTGATGATTAAAAGTAAAATGTGATAGGTAAATTATTAGTAAAAAGATATGATGTGATAGATAGAGTAAGAATTAGTAGGGATAGAATTAATTTTTAGTAGAAAGATTAAGAACTTTGTGGGACAAAGAAAAAAAGAAAAGAGAGAGTTAATGATACGGAGAGAGTATATCCTACACTCACAATATTAAATAGGATTTGTTTGGTAAATTTTGAAGATTTGATATGATTTGGTTTTAGAATCTTGGAAAAAATAATATGGATTCTGAAACCTAAAATGATGTCGTTTGAAAAATTTTGAAATCATGATTTAATTAGTGATGGACATGGGTGGCCGACAACGAAGATAGTTGGTGGTGACAGTGGTGGCCGGTACGGTGGGGACGGTCGACGGTTGAAAAAATATTAGACTCTCACACTGATATTTCCCAAATTCAGGAGATATCAAAAGTGAAATTTGCACTAAATAGGACTAAAACATAATGACTTTCCTTATGTAGGACTTAAAATTTTTTATTCCCTAAATAGGACTTAATAATGACCTAGTGGAAAGAATAATGTCCAGTAATGATATGATGGACATTTAGTTGAATAATGACTACTTGATAATGACCAAAGGTCCTACATTGAGAAATAAAAACATATGGTCCTATATTGGGAAAGTCATTATGTTTTAGTCCTATTTAGGTAAATTTCTCATATCAAAACTCTCCATTTTGAATGTTTTTGATATCTGAATATATCAAATTTGAACTTTTCTAAGCTACACCACTAGGGGTGGACACGGTTCCGGCGGGAACCAGTACCGACACCGGCGATTCCCGTAAATGTGCCGAAGACGGAGACATAATGGTGGGTAGGGGAACCGGACCCGGGGGACACGGGTCCGGTTCTAGATCTTATATGGGCGGTCCTGGAACCGCGAGTTCAGATCTGGTTCCGGAATTTTTTTTCTTGTTTTTTGGTCAGCGTCGGAAAAAAAGCCACAACGGCTTTATAGCCGTTTCAAACAGTTTTTTAGGTGAGTAATTTATAAGCTCCTTTCAGATATCTTTATGAGATTTTTACCTTGTCATTTTTTTTGAACCGTTTGGATATTAAAAACAACTACTGATGGAAACCGCTTTTTCGGGGCGTCGACCCGACGAAATCGGTACCGGGTCGGCACCGCACCGAATAGCGAAATCTAGAAATTAAATAAATATATAAAGCAGAGAGAAAGTATTTATACGTGGAAACCCAAATCGGGAGAAAACCACGGGCCTTTTTAGGCGGTGCCATGCCAAAGGGGAGGAACTTTTATTAATCTCGGGGGAATTTACACATACATCATTGTAGGAGCTTGGAGCCATTAATGGAGCTCCAAGCTAAAGGAAGAAGAAGAAGAATGAAGAATAGTAGTAAAACTTGTAGGAATTTGCCTTGGGCTCTCTCCTCTGTCCCCCTCCTTGTGTAAATGTCCATTATAAAGGGGAGTACATGCATGCATCCCAAAAATGCCATGAGGTGGTCATGTCACCTCCATGTGCATATGTTTAGTATATGGGCTCCACGGAATATTTTCACATCACTTCAAATATATTCTTCTATCCATATATCTTTGGTTCCGTCTTGAATAATTTATCTGATTTATATCTTGGGCCAGATAAAATTGGATTTTCTTGTACTGTTCAAATGATATTGGATTAGGATAAATCCCTAATCCATCAACTACATTCTTAGAATTCATAAAGAGTTATAAATTTTGTTACATTGCATATAATATTATGTAATTCATATATTAGATTTAGAAAAAAAGAACCGAGAACCGGAACCGCCGGTTTCGGAACCGACTTCGACAGCTACAGTTACGATGCAGTGAGGGGCAGTTCCGGAACCGGAACCGACCTGTGTCCACCCATATACACCACACACATAAAAAGATAGTGATATCGCAAAATATCACAATTCATATCTATTGCACTCACGCCAATAGAGTTTCATATTGGTTCTTTAATCACGATTGCACAATCAACTTCAAAAATGATCGAGAAAGCTTCTGGTGACCCGTTCTCTAGCCTACATGATCACTCGTAGGAGCGATTAGTTTAAGAATTAATTCCCGGACACAAATGGAGTATGGACTATTGAGTAACAATTTTGATGCTACTTTATTACTTCTTCCCACCAAAAAGGATTGCGACGGTTCATCACGATTTTTTCCATGTACTTTTTAATCATGAATTAAATATAATTTAAAATAATTAAATATTATAAAAATCTAATTTTCAAAGTCATAGTTTAAAATGAACTAATTGCAATAAATTTCATTATAATTAAATATATTGTTTTTATAATTTATAGTAAAAAAATTACATAATTTGACCGAAAAATTTAAGCTATTACAATTTTTTTGGAACAGAAAAAGTAATTTTATAGTGTATTAGTTTTTTTTGTTTGACCATGGCATTCAAGGACGATACCGTGAAGGCAAGGTTTGAACATTACAGGATAAACCATCGTGCTCGCGCCACGTTTCACCAACGCCGTTTCAATTGCCTGTTGGCGACAACCTCATTATTTTTAGCGGAGACTGACGGAAATATAAAACTCCGTTAACGGACACAGTAACCCCCATCGCTATCTCTCTCTCGACGACTCGAATCCCCCCATCGCCTTCTCCACCACGGGGTAGAGCCGCAGGATACCCCCCCGCCCCTTTCTTCTCACTCTGCCTTCTCTCTCTACCTTCCCACCTTCTTTCTATAACTATTATAATTATTACCCCTATCTCTCGCCGGATTCCGATCGGAGAATCCATTTGCACCGATCAAATCTGTTCCAATTTGCTTTTTTTTTAGTATTATTTTGTATTCTATACGGACGGTTCTCCTTCTTCGAGGTGAGGATAATATGCCTTTAGATATGTGTATCTGGACATCTGTAGTTGATTAATTGGATAATTATAGGTGAAATTTATGGTGGATTAGAGCCCTTGGGTGATGATGATTATGTGGCAGCGATTCCTGTTTAATCGAGACATGAATTTCGGATCTCTTTGACTTCCGCAAGGATTGGGTACTCTGTGTTATAACGGGTTTCGGGGACTCGGACTTCCGTAATTATTGTGTTTATTTCGCTTTCGTATTGTCTCAAACTAGTTGTTATTTTTATTCTTTTTTTTTGAATATATAATATGGAGTAACAACTTCTGTAACTATCATTTTGAGCTGCGTCTATACATCTGTGAATATTCATTTGTTAAGTGCGTCTGAAGATTTTTTATAGGTTTCACACTCTCGGGGTGAAGAGGGCGTATTAGTGTTGTCATATTTCTTTCATTTTATTAGTTTGTTTATCAATTTAAAATTTCATGAAGAACAATTAGGCTCTAACTATTACAGAGACGTGCCTTTCTGTGGTTTTCCTTTCGAATTCGTGATGAATGACTGAGAGTAATCTAAAAGATGCTTAGAAGAAAAGAACATAAGTTGATTACATTACTATCTTTTTTCAATTTGTCCCCCCCCCCTAGAGCCATGACTACTAAAGCAGGCAAATTTTGATGAATCCCATCAACTATGATAAGGGCGGGTTGTTATGTAGAGTTTTTCATGCGATGTGGTATCACTTATGTACACTACTCCCTTCCTAATATATACGATTGATTTTTTAATTCATTCATTTTATTATTATTATTATTATATTATTATTATTATTATTATTATTTCAGGTGGCCTTTTGTTTGTGTTGTGGAATGTACATTCGCCAACAGCTTGCTCGCAACTGATTGTACTTCTTGTATGTGATCATGGGATCTGCTTGTTGTATAGCTGCAAAAGGTGGAACACCATCAAACCAATCAGCAACTGAAAATTTACACAGGACTGTCGGGTGTTCACCATCGTGGAGTTTTCGGTGGGATAATCGAGGGAGAGTAGTAGGGGAAGAAACTAAACTGAATTGGTCTTCTGATGGAGTTAGTGGTAATGATAGATCAGATTTTAAGTCTAGGACAACTATAGAAACAGTATATGCCTCTGAAGAGGGAAGTCCATTCGAGAGCTTCCGGTCACATGCATGGCAGAAGTCACCAACCTCCGAAAGAAATGGTGAAATTTTATCACAGCCTTCTTCAGGTGATACTCTATGGTTCTCCCTTTATTTCCCCTCGGAGGATATGTTGGTAACATTGTGTGCACAGTTATTAATAAAAAAATAATTACAAAAAAAACTAACAGCTTTAGAAATTAATCAGAATATTGAAGGCTGTAATTTTACTTGCTAAGTGCAATTCATATTGTTAATATTAGGTATTTTTATGCTATCCTCAACTAGCAGTAGCATTTCCTTGAGTTGATTCCACATGAATTATGAATATATATAGTATATGAAAGTTGGTACTTTGACAAAATGAAATTCTTTATGACTTGTTTCTAGTGGACAACAGAAAAAAGATTGGTGATATGTTGCTCTTTGTGGAAGCTATGAAGTGTAAATGATAATTAGAGGATATAATCATTTTCTTGTTGAGTGAATGTTAGCTTAAAACATGATTGTTAGAAGCTGAGCCACATAGATGCTAAGGAGAATAGAAGATTTGTGCTACAGTGTTAGAAATTACTTCCTTTGTCCCAAAATAAGTGTACAAAATTGATTGGACACGGTTATTAATAATGGGTAGATTGTGTAGCTTTGTGAAAGGAGAAAAATCCTGTGAACCACTAAAATTTCTTCTTCTAAAGAGGAACCTTTTATGGGACAAAAAAATATGAAATGTGGAACCTTTTTATGCGATAATGGGAGTACACTAGTACACCTATCTAACTCATGCGGGGCCATCTCTTTTATTTATTGTTACTGGTCATGATTGTCACATGGTGGATGTGACGAAACATATCTTTACTAGTGTTATAAGTCAGTCTAAAGAATGTTTGTCCTAAATTGTGGGAGTAAAAGGGAGGTTTTGGTCTAAGCCCGGTATCGAAATTGAGATAAACAAATTTTAGTGATGGAATGTGGACATGTGGTTTATAGCAACTGTAACATTTCTTTTTGGTATCAAACTGAGTAACAATTATTGCTGAAATTGTTTACATGTGTAACCCTTTTATCTGAATAAAGGAAAAATATATTGACCAATGGAACATTAACACGAGTTTATGTAGAAGTAAAAGTAACAACTATATGTAGTGATTAAATATTTGTATCTACATTTATTACCAAATTTGATGTTTGAATATGTAAACCCTTGGTTGGAAATCATTGTGAAAAGATGGTGATCAAACTATCAAAGGAGCATCAACACACCATCAACACAGCTTCTTGAAAAAAAAAAGAATATCATTTAAACAGAAAAAATAGCAGTCCAATATATGTACAACAAAAGTATGTGCAACAACAAAAAACCCAGGATAAATCCCACTTCATTGGGGTCTAGGTTGTCAATATCGATTTAGTCCATCATTTATCCAGAGCTAAAACATTGTAAAAACTGAAAAATGACTCTTTTAACTCCATTGGTAATGGACATAAACTTTACCCCATTTGACTGCTTTACGTGTCCTGCAAAATCAGATTTACAATTCTTAAAAATTATTCTGCTGTGGTGTTTCGGAAGATAGGCACTTGGAAAGGATAAAGATGGGCGAGGATGAAATTGGAAGTGGGTGAGATTAGGGAGGAAGATAAATTATAATAAATGATTATGAAAAAATAGGAAGATAGGCAATGGTGCAATGGTGAAAAAAGCATGTCATATAACATGGCATATAGATGGGCATGTGGTGATTCGGAAGATAGGCAAGTCGAAAGGATAAAGATGGGTGAGGATGAAATTGGAAGTGCGTGAGGGTAGAGAGAAAGATAAATTGTAATAAAGGATTATGACAAAATAGGAAGATGGGCGATGGTGCAATGGTGAAAAAAGGATGTCACATAGCCTTCCCAAATCTCGACTTATATCAACTCTGCCACCTGAAAAGCTATTCCTGCCTTTTTTTCTGATTTGTTCTCTAACTTGGAAGGACCTTTATCTTCTGCTAAAAGCAAGGATTATTTTTCCATTTCCATTCTCGAAACCCCCAGCTTAACACCTCCTAAACATTGCTACAGGCCAACAATGTTTTTTATGGGCATTTGAACTGTATGAGAGTAACTCTTCTATTTGGTGTGGTTCTGTCATTGCATTGTAGGAAATATCATTTCTTATATGACAAGTGAACCAAAATCAAATTGATGTATCTTTCTGGTTCTTTAGTTTTTTATACAATACGGTATGCAAATGGTTATCTAATTGCAATAACTTTCACTCTTATCTGTTGTATTTCGTATATAACCCCTTCATCCTCATGTTTACAGATCCCTTGGTGGCCTCAAACTCCACAGAGGTATGACTGTAACTTCTCTCGAACGTGCTTTGGATGGTTCATGTAGTTTCATTTTTTTGGGCTTGAGACATTTCTGTGTACAAAGTATACAAACATCTCCTTTCTTTGATCTGAATGTAGATAATAGAACCAGCAAGATTGCCTGCAGTAACATATCCTTCTCCTGCACTGTCGGCTTCAGCTTTGTCATATGATGAAAGTCAGCAGCTCCCTGTGAACCTGACTCCCTCGAGTTCGTTCATTCTCCCTGGTTGGGGCATCGAATCAATTCAGGGCTCTCATGGTGGATCATCAGATGGTTGGTCTATTCCTGCCTTTCACGAATTCCTACCAACTCCCCACAGGGAAAGGTGGTCTTTTGATAGTGAAGGCTTTAGTTTCCTTTGTGGAAGAACATCCAGTTCTCCCTCTTTAGATCTCAGAGCGTGTGGCGTTTGTGCAAAGCTGCTGACAGATAAATCGTTTTGGGGCGGTCAGAAAACTACGCCTAATGGAATTTCTGTTGTTTCTGTACTTACATGCGAGCATGTTTTCCATGCTGAGTGCTTGGAGAATATGACTCTGGAGATCAACAAGTATGACCCGGCGTGCCCTGTCTGCACTCTTGGGGAGAAACACGTGTCTAAGATGTGTGAGAAGGGTTTGAAAGCTGAGATGAATTCAAAAGCTAGAAAGAGATGTAGGAATCAAGTTGTCGATAGTGATTTTAATGGAAACCTTGCAGCAGTGGGAGATGTCGTGAGGTGTCCAAAGATCAGCTCTAGTTCCTCCAGTCTGAAGAAGCTTTCTGTGGGAAAGCCATCTTTGAGACGCCATTTTTCATTCAGTGGATCCAAGGGGACAACAAGAGCAGTGTCTGAGAATGAGTGTGCTCAGAAAAGGGGCTTTTTCTGGACACGATCTAGCAAGGAGAAAGCTTCTTCATGGGCACAACAATAGTTAAGCAACACCATGGTATTCATGCGGTTCTCTTTTCCCTGGATTATACACTATTACTCAATCTTGTCATCAACTCTTTATTGGATACATTCTAGTCCTTGACTACGAATTTTGTGTCCAATTTAGGCACCATGCATATTTGGTCGGCATACAAAAAACTCAATCCTAAAATTCGAACAAAATATGCACAAAACATTTGATAACCAAATTGGGTCTAAATTACATTTCTAAAGGACCCAATGGGTCTAAAACCAATAGAAGTTTGATGACCAAATATGGTACTAGCTTAGCCAGTGAACAAATTGGGAATTGACTCTATTCTTTTTACTTGAAGTGTCATTCATCTTCATTTTATTGCAGTGGGTACTATTTCTCCAATGGTTTGTTTGACTTCATTTTTTAATCTGCAGACATGGGAGAGATCTTCTGTTGCTGGCTTTGGCGCCGTTGCAGGGGTTGAAAACGAGTCGAAATTGAAAAGACCTTTCTTTGGGGGAGGGGCTGTTTAAATTATTTTGCTGTCAGGTTTAGGTAAGGCTCTGCAACTACAATGTAAAGAAGGGGAACCATTAGAGGTTGAAGGTTCCAATCATTACCAGGAACACAAATGGAAAATGGGAATTCTGATGCTTAGTCATATATATCTTCTTTTTTTTGTTACATTTCAAGTGTGCATGAATTATTATAATTTGATGCCAAAGTGCCAATTAGCAAATGCATGGCGTATTCGAATACCCATTTCTACATCGCATCTGATTTAGTTTTAACATTTCTATACGTTTATTGCTCCCGTTATCCAATTTTTAATGCTAATTACAAAAGTGGTTTCCAAATGGAGTTTCACTCTGAATGAGGCGTCTTGGTACCTAAGAAAATGGAAAGGTATGTCACATTTGGTTAAGTTGGAAGAAATTATTCCATCAATACCCTATATGGTTTGATAAATGTGTATTGTTACCGCTCATGGTTTTAAAACTTATGCCATTTTGGCCAATGTTTCTCTGGACTAAAATACCCCTTCAGATTTTAAGTGAATAACTCTGTTGTCATTTATGATTTTAGAAGTGGACATCAACTCTTCATCTCATTTTTTCTTTATTGTTTGTGTTTTTTTTATCTTCTCTTTTTTCATAAATGTGTATAAGCTATTTTTCAAAAACTATATTTTTTAAAAATAAAGTTGTTTGTTTTAATATAAATTCTTTGTTTTAATAATTCTTTTTCCTTTTATTTTAATTTTGTGTAAAATAAAAGGAATGTTATAAAATTAGGTTTAAAAAATTTAAAAGAAAAAACAAAAAATTAAAAATATTCATGAAAGGAATATGCTCGGCATCTGTCCAAAATGTCTTTAATTTACACTTTTGGCCCAATAGGTTCAAAAAAATAAGGAACAAAACATGAAAATGTTACCAAAACACAGGGGTATTGGGGTGTTGGTGCAATTAACTCCAAGTTGTAAATGTGACTTGCTTGACCAAAAATATTGATATTTAGAACATATGAGCCTATCTAGGACATAGAACATAATAAAAATTTTCATGTTTTTTTCTATAGATAGGAGTCTTGCCATTATGAAACACTCGTAATTTGGCATCATATGTTGTAATTAACAATATCTTTGAAATAAGTTTACATCACTTTTTTTGGCATTTTACAAATAACTCGTATGTGACACAAATGATAGAGAGTATTTGTCTAGGCCAAATAGTACCAGTACCCCTTGTGGTTTGGAAAATATGCACTAATAGTCCCTCTATTTTTAAAGCATATTTCTAAGGTCCCTGTGATTTCAAAAGATTGCACACATACCTAGAGGTGGCAAGCAGGTCAACCGGATCGGTTTCGGGTTGGATTTTTTTCGGTTTGGGTATCTTAAGATATATGTTATAATTGGTTCGGTTCAGTTCAGATCGGTTTAATTTTGTTTCGAATTTGATTCGATTTTATACATTTTTTGGTTCGGTTCGGTTTCGAGTCGGTTCAGATACGGTTTGTTTATAAATCGGTTTAGATAGATTTCGTTTTGGATACAATTTGAATCGGATATATTTCGGTTCCGGATCTAGTTCGGTTCGGATATATTTCGGTTTTGGATCAAATATATATTGGATATATATTATTTTCTAATTAAAATTTAATTATCCATGTTTCTTTTTATGTTTTGTCACATTTATCAATCTATCATCAATTCAATACCTTATATTATTTTACATTTTTTTCTAATTATATTATCTCTACCCTAAATAATCTCCCCTTTTTGACCTTTAATCATATTTTACAATTTTGGACTACAAATTATGAAAAAGTATATGTTTAATTACGATATAAATTTAATATAATTAAATTGATTTTAGAATTTAGTTTTGATATATCAAATTTTTCTTACATCTACTAATATATTTATGTTTATAAATGATAAGATAAAAGATAAATTCAAATAGTGTTACGTTCCAACTGAATACAATTTGGTAAAAATTGAGTGAAGTTGGGTGAAATTAAGTAAATTTTATTCAATTAAGTGCAAAATTTATAAATTATTTGAGTGTATTTGGTTGAAATTAGATAAAATTAAATTTAATGAAGTTTAATATAATTATTTCTACACCTAAATGTAATGGTGTAGATCAAATTTGAAAATGATAACACTAAATGCTGCCGCTGGAGAGTCTTTTCAAAATACTAACACTAACATCTAATGTTATTGCTAACATTTAAGTTGTCTGTTTCTTGTTATCTTAATTTAATTTTTTATTACTCTAATAAAGGATGAGCCCCAACCCCGAGAGCCCCCTCAGACCTGGCCGAACAGTCACTGAGTGGAGGTTAATTGGATTTTGATAGCAGATTAGTGGCAAAGAATGAAGCTTGCACCTGATACTTGCAGAGACCCTATATTTAGTATAATTACTTTTGATGGTAATAAACCATCAAGTAGTCGGACTGTGGAGTTGAATGAGTTGAGTAAGCAAGAGAATAAAGAGAGAGAAGGTAGTGCAAAGTAGGAGTATATTTGGTTGATTTCGGATCTGCTATAATGCCATGGCCTAAGGCTATTTATAGCCTCCTTACTACTACAACGGTAATAACAATGATTGACACTCGTTTGTCGTTTAGACTGTATCTTTAGCAATTGGAGGTATGTGGGATATTCAATCCTGGGGCCTACTACCAGCGTGACATGGGATTACCTTCTGTCAGCCTTTTAAAACAGTTATCAGAAATCGAACTCAGATTTTATCTCCTTAGTATTCTTTGTCTTTGTTTATGCTTGGAGGTTCACGCGTTATTTATTGTACTCCTATAAATTTAAGATGTATTGGTAAAGGCTTTCTTCGGTCAAAATTACAAGCAATTCATTTAAACTTGGTTAAATTCAGTTCAATTCATCTCACTCGAGATTGAAAGCACGAACTCTTGGTCGATCATTATCGTCCCAATGCAAAAATGGTATTCCATGTTGATTAAAAACCAAATATTACCCACGATTATTATTATTATTATTATTATTTTATTTTACATGTTACCAAATTTAATCTCTAATACTAGATCGAGATGTGAATGTCCTATCTATGTTAACTTTGTAAGATGAAAAATAACGATAATAGCGGGAAACCCCAAATGAACTACAGCATCAAAATCATTCTTCCATTTCATCCATCAAAAAAAAGCAAAACACAGGAAAGACATACAAAAAAAAATAAACAGATAAATCAACTATCGTAAATAATTAACAAGAGGCTTGGCTTGGTTGTAAATATAGGAATGGTAATTTTCCCTTTGATCGATCAAATCCCCCACATAAAATAATTCTGTGATTCTCTCTTCCTCCTCTTCTTCTCACCGGGAGGGCAGGAGATGGAAAAGAAGCACAGAGGAGGAAGACGACGACCGCCGCCGCCGCCCTCCGCCATGGCGACCACCGCCGCCCCCCTCTTCCTTTCTATTCTTCTCGTCTTTGTTTCTGACCCGACCCGATGCGTTCGTGCCCAAGACTCCTCCGCCGTTCTCCCCGCTCGGGCTTTTCAGCCCTTCGTCCCCCACGACAACTACCTCCTCGACTGCGGCTCCACCTCCCCCACCACCCTCCCCGGCGGCCGGATCTTCCAGCCCGACCAGAACACCAACAAGTACTTGGCCTACGGCGGGGACGAGATTCAAGTTTCTGGCGACGGCGGCGGCAATGTCCCCGCCATCTACCTCACCGCCAACGTGTTTGTGAGCGATGCCACGTACACGTTCCACGTCACCTCCCCGGGCTTGCACTGGGTCCGCCTCCACTTCTACCCGCTGAGCGCCCCCGGCCACGACTTGAAGGCCGCCAGGTTCTCGGTCGTGACCGAGACTTCCGTCCTCCTTCGGGAATTCGAGGCGGTCAACACCACCGCCCCGTGCATGAAGGAGTTCTTGGTCAACGTCACGACCGAGCGGTTCCCGTTGACTTTCAAGCCTGCAGGGAAAATGGCCTTCGTCAATGCCATTGAATTCGTATCCGCCCCGGAAGCCTTGATCAGCGATACCGCTTCACTCCTTTTTCCCGTCTCCGAACAATTCGGGCTATCAGGTAGGTAGTAGCACCTTACTATTATGATAAGAACTCTACCCTGCTATGAGTAAAACATAGAAAAATTACCAAAATATAAGTTTCATTAGTTTAATTACTGTCATGTGGCAATTTGGCACTATATATTGATATTTCGTTATTTCATCGTGTTTTTTGGTATTATATGTTAACATTATTGACATTGTAACTTTTATTTTGGATATACAAATATAAAACTCCTCTTTTGATACTTTCTTTAAATTTTAGTAAAATTTGCACTAAATAGGACTAAAACATAATGACTTTCTCAGTGTAGGACTTAAACTTTTTTATTCCCTAAATAGGACTTAATAATGACCTCGTGGATGAATAATGTCCAGTAATGATGGACATTTACTTGAATAATGACTACTTGATAATGACCAAAAGTCCTACATTGGGAAATAAAAACATAAAATCCTATAATAAGAAAGTCATTATGTTTTAGTCCTATTTAGGTAAATTTCTCTAAATTTTACCCCTAATTTAGTCTTTTTCCTTCATATTCTATGATCAGGCAATGCTTTTGAGACCGTATACCGCCTCAACGTGGGCGGGCCGATTATTGGACCAGAGAACGACACGCTGGGAAGAAGTTGGAAACCGGACACGGAGTACCTTACCCCTAAGGAGATGGGGAAAAATGTGTCCGTCACGCCGGGGGTCATCTCTTACCCTAAAGGCGGGGGCTCCCCCGTCATTGCTCCGCCGCTGGTGTATTCATCTGCGGTGGAAATGGCGGATTCGGAAGTGATGCAATCCATCTTCAACGTGTCCTGGCAGTTGGAAATCGACAACGACTACACCTACCTAGTCCGTCTCCATTTCTGCGACATTGTGAGCAAGACGCTGAACGAACTCTACTTTAACGTCTACATCAACGACAAAATGGCAATCTCCGGCCTCGACTTGTCGACGCTCAACGGGAAATTAGCAACCGCTTTCTACAAGGATCTGGTGGTGAACTCATCAATGGTCACAAATCCCCTGAAAGTGAAGATCAGCCCCGTGAATGACGCGCAGGGAATGATGAACGCCTTGCTCAACGGGCTGGAGGTGTACAAGATGAACAACTCCGTCGGGAGCTTGGACGGGGAATTCGGGGTCGACGGGAAGGCGGCAGACGGTCACTCCGCGGGCGGGAAGACGGCCGCGGCCGTCGGGTTCGCAATGATGTTCGGGGCGTTTGTCGGGTTGGGGGCAATGGCGGCAAAGTGGCAAAAGAGGCCACAGAATTGGCAGAGGAGACAGAGTTTCTCGTCTTGGTTGCTCCCCATCCACGCCGGAGATTCAACCTTCATGAGCAGCAAGAGCAAGAGCCACCAGTTCTATTCGTCGACCACCGGATTGGGACGGTTCTTCTCCTTTGCAGAGTTACAGGAGGCGACCAAGAACTGGGACCCGAAGGAGATTGTCGGCGTAGGTGGGTTTGGAAATGTCTATCTTGGGACCATAGACGATGGGACTAAGGTGGCCATCAAGAGAGGAAACCCACAGTCCGAACAAGGGATCAACGAATTCCAGACAGAAATCCAAATCCTGTCTAAGCTCAGGCACCGCCACCTTGTCTCCCTGATCGGCTACTGCGATGAGAACGAGGAGATGATCCTGGTTTATGAATACATGGCAAACGGGCCTTTGAGAGACCATCTCTACGGGAAGGGCATGCCTACCCTGCCATGGAAACAGAGGCTGGAGATATGCATCGGCTCTGCCCGGGGGCTGCATTACCTCCACACCGGTGCTGCCCAGGGGATCATCCACCGCGACGTGAAGAGCACAAACATACTGCTGGACGAGAACTTTGTGGCAAAGATGGCCGATTTCGGGCTGTCGAAAGACGGGCCCGCAACCGGGCAGACCCACGTCAGCACCGCCGTGAAGGGCAGTTTCGGGTACCTGGACCCGGAGTACTTCAGGAAGCAACAACTTACCGATAAGTCGGACGTGTACTCGTTCGGGGTGGTGCTGCTGGAGGTTCTGTGCGCCAGGCCGGCCATCAACCCGCAGCTGCCGAGGGAGCAGGTGAACTTGGCAGAGTGGGCCATGCAGAAGAAGAGAAAGGGGTTGCTGGACACGATCATCGACCCGGCGCTGGTGGGGAACATTGACCCGGAATCCATGAAGAAGTTCGCAGAAGCCGCGGAGAAGTGCCTGTCAGAGTATGGGGATGATAGGCCTTCCATGGGGGATGTGTTGTGGAACCTGGAGTATGCTTTGCAGTTGCAGGAGAATTCTTCACAGGGAACGGTTGCCGCCGCAGAGGATGACAATGCCAGTGCCACCACGGCACCACCGGCATCAGCCACACCACCGCCTCCGGCTGTTAATGCTCCGGCAGTTCCTTCTTCTTCTTCACCTGAAGCTCAAGAGGTTGATGAACACTCTGGAACTGCTATGTTTGTTCAATTCACTTCCCTCAATGGGAGGTAAAATCCCAAGTGTTGTTGATCATGAAAAGGAAAAAAAATATATATATATTTCTTGCTAGTTCTGCTGTAAATGATTTACTGTTAGTCCTGATGGTGCAAAACCAATTGAATGGTTGCCCATAATATTCTATATTTGTTCGATTCACATCATTGCAAAGCCATAATAATAATAACCAAACACTACTAATTACCCTTGAATTAATTACTAATACTTCTACTTCTCATTTTCTTTCACTGCAAGTTAGATGTTCACATTTTATTACCCTTAATCACTTGATATTGGATGGACAAGGGAAAAAATACACAAGAAAAACTCCAGAATTGATCATAATTTTACGCGTCGAAACATGCTTTAGCTCAGTAGGAAACTAGAAACCTAACACTTTAAAGGTTGCGTAAGTGCGGTTAATACCTTCATAAGCAAAAGTTCGATTGCTGGATGCATCGAATCATATGTCAAAATTTGAAGTCCAGCACCTAAAGAATAAAAAAGAGAAGTTTAAAAATATTTATACCAAAAAAGAAAAGCACTAATAATAAGGTAGAGAACTAAGCTCCAAAGAAAGCTACTGCCTTCTTGGAAACAGTTAGTATTTTAATCATCTAACAATTCGAAGTTATGATGTCCAACCATCTTTCTCTTAGCATTTTTCTCATTAGCGGTACACTATGAATCTGAACCAGCAGGGAAAGTACTGTCAGATGACTTTCATTCACTTCTGGAAGGGAGCTCAAAAATGTCTAATGAAGGAAGTGCCAAGTTACATATATGTGCCAAGCTATCATCTTTATCGATATCTTGAGTAGCGGTTTGAGAAACTTTAGATGGGCTTGCAGCATTGCCATGCACTTCCTTGTTTGTACTTTCTGGAGTCCATCCATAGAGAACCATTCCATCAGGTTCTTCCTCGTCGTCAAATTCTTCCCTGAAATAATGGGACATTTGAAGCACTTTTATTCAGATCATATATATCGCTGTTATTTAAGAAAATGTGATGTTCCACTAAACAATTTCTTCCCAGTGGTACAAAAATTTGGCAAGAAACAAACCTCTGCTTAATATTGATCATACAAGTGAGCTCCTGCAAGAAATCCTCAACAGTGATAATGGTTCCCCCGGTTATGGGAGATGGAAGCTCACATAGTACCTAAGGACAATGCAAACAAATTTGAAATTTAAATTATTAATTACCCTCTCTAGAAGATTGATTAATAGCAAGCAGCAGAAGAGAGAGAACAAAATACAAGTGATCTACCTTGTCAAGGTTTTCAATGTAATTCGCTACCATGTCATCCTCAAGATCATCACCCTCCTCATAGAGAAGTGCTGCCCCATGCATAATCAGTGGAAAATGCATGCCAAGCTTTGCTTTTACAATCCTATCAAGAAAATCCTTTAATCTTGATCCCTTAGTATTGACCTCAAGCGTCATACGAGCCTACCAAGCCAAAACATATTGATGGGGTTAGATCAGATGAAATGCAATTTTTCCCCCAAAGGTTAGAATTTGATGTTTATACCCCAGAACAGACATAGCAGGATTTGCTCGGTTCAGATGGCTCAAATGGCACAAGGAGAAGCTTTCTGGAAGGATGCTCGAGACAATAGGTCATCCTAATGATACAAAATAAAGCATTTATTAGTAGACAGATATCAGCAATTGTCACTGTAGAAGTGTATATGAATTCGTGCAAACCTGCAGCTTTTCATATCATTTTGCAACACCTTAGTTGCCTCAATCACAACCAACCCAGCAATTATAGCATTTGTTGTAGCAACAGCATGCACAATATTTCCTGCAATTCCTTTTGCTTCAAAAAGGCTATGCAACGGAATACCAAATGAAGATGCCCGAATATTAGCAGCTGTGCTTACAAATTCCAATGCCAACTGATCATCTTTGTCAAAAATCAAGTTCCCAATATCCTGATGAGGTCAATGAAGAAAACATTGTAACCATGAATTAATATTAGGTGAACAAAAAGCCTAATTGAGGGGTTTAAAATTAAAGGACAAGCCAGGCATAGAAAAACCTTTGGCCTTTTTGAAAAAAAGAGCTTTAGAGACTCCAAAAATAATTTTGTGTTTTCCTTCAAGCTCCACACTTCCTGAGGATTCTTAAGACCTAGAGATGCCATTGCAGACACTGATGAGGGTTGATCATCTTTTGAAGCTTTATCTCCATTTTTACTCTGTTGAATCTCTTCAAATGGCAATATGTCTTTAATGTATGTAGGCCTTGGTTTGTTACGGTTCTTCCACATGTCCTCATTGGACAATGCCACCTCAATGTTGTAGCCAAAAACATGGTCATATATTCTCCTCCCATATTGCTCAATGTCTTCATTGAGCCGAAATTCAAAAATATTATGCGTGTTCGCCGAAGAACTACAATCATCATTAGAGGGCACATTCAGATCGTTTTCTTGATTGATGTCCCCAAAAAGCTTCGCAAAAAGCATCTCTTTTGCCCATACGATGCAGTGGACAAACTGCAATGGCATAAAATCAGGTCAAAGCATGCTTTGGAATGATCCCTTAAATACGAAATTTTATTGAGTGAGGCTTGTAATAGGCACAAGTTCAATGAGCTTGTAAATTCTATATTATTCCTAGAAGCACTTATGACGATTTTTTTACTAATTTGGATAAGCCTGTGAAAAAACATATTGCTATTGTCTTTTTTCCTTGCGTAATCTGAAAGGCGAGAATTCATCAGGAAAGAAGATGTTAAAATCAGCTATACAGAGACCAGTTGTGATCCAATCACATACCAGCCTCTTGAGCTTATTGAAAAGCAGTAAAGCACTTGCCTTAGTAGTGCCGATCAAAGCTACTTGTCCGGACAAGGACAATTCACATGTTATCCTTTCATGAGTATAAGGATACGATACAACCATTTTTCAAGAGACTTATATGCTCACTAATCATAGACGAATTGCACATTATATAGAGGTTAGATGCTCAATAGCCAGAAATGAGTTCCTCAGTAAGTGCAATAACATTACATGCCAATGGCACATATGTATACATACTACCAACTAGTGTTGGGTAAAAATAACTGAGAGAAATGATGAACACGTAACTTCTCCCATTAGAAAAATGGGTACCACTTTTAGAAGGCATGGTAGCGGTAGACCTAAATACTATCTTGTTGTGTGCATTAACCTATTTCCATTGCTGGGAATTCTTTTCTGACTAAATAATTACCATCAATACCTTGGATGGAGTGTTTGTAATCGTGCACACGGGGTAAACCTTAGGAGCTGGTTTTGGTTGGCATTCATAACATTCTGTTTTGCCCTTCACGTGGACAGTTACCTGCCAATGCCAGAATCCAAAGCAACACGAATTGTAGAACAAACTTGGGTCATCTTTTTTGAGCAATGAGGCATAAAATATGCATCTGAGTGACTTAACAACCATCCAACAGTTATTTTAATCAACAATTTGGGAAGTTACATTCAGATTTCAATTTCAGATTTGATCTAAACACGTTTGAGAATCCAAAACAAATGGATTTAGGCCAAAATTTTCTAACTCTCAACAACTCCGAATTACAAATCCATACATTGGCCTTGTAATTTAAAATCAAAGAGTTCATATCTATACCTACATTAGACAAATCCAATGGAAATGGCGATTAAGTGTAAGAAAACAAGAGTGGAAGTAAGCTGTTAGGCTCTGGGTGAAACAAAAAAAATCCCCCAAATAAGCAGCGTTACCTGTCCCAGGAAACCAGTTGTCCCACTGTCGACCAATGGAACACCGGCAGCCAAGCAAAGCCGGTTCACATGCCGCCGACCAACTAGATTGTCAAGGCCATTGAGAACAACATTGAATTGCTTAAAGAAATCCACATTGAAGTCAGTGTCTAAAACACTTGCATGGTAAGCTGTCACTTGTATTCCAGGCCTAAATTTCAAGATGGCATCCCTCGCAACCTGGGTTATAATTGGTCAATTCAGTATATGGAATATAATGAAAAAAAATGCAGTCTCAAATCTCAATAGTAGGGGATGGCAATTTGGCATAGCTTGTAATGGTCGAATATTTTCAACAAAAATCCTACTGGTAAACCCCAAAATTTTAATTCCATGAATATGTTTTTAGTCTCTTATACTAGTAAGATAATTTTGTTTTTGACACCTGTCTAGGGGTGGGTTGGGAAAATCGAAAACAGCAAACTGAACCAAAATTAATCGAAACAAGCTAGAAAGAAAATCGAACCGAAAGAATAACAACCGAATGTAAAAAAAATTGGACCGAATCGTTATTGTTTGGTTTCTGTTATAATTTTTTTTGGAAAACCGAACCGAATCAAATACACCGAACTTTCTTAGATTTATATATGTGATCTGTAAAAAATCATAGAGATATAACTGTAAATAGTTGACTAGTCGATTAAAGTTATTTTTTAACTATCAATTAACCATAGTCCATAGACCATATTTTTTAATGCTTATACTTTTTATTTTTATTTTTATAAACCGAAAAAACCGAAATAGTCTTCCATGTCACAATATTTATTTATAAATTATTCTCGCAATAATTATTTATTTTAAAAGTAGTCCCTAAACATAATTTACAATTCTAATTTGTTGAGACAACACAACCCTTCCATGTCATAGATCTTCTTCATTGAATTACATCGCCGATTTTCAAATTTGATTATACTATATTTCTATAATATTTGGGAATTAGAGATATAAGATAAATAAGAATAAATTTAGAGCATGAGAATTGTATTGGAGGCAGTAAAAATGCAAGATTATGATGTTTAGTATGAAATAAATGTGCTATCTCGACAGATTAGAAATACAAATTATATTTAAGGATCATTTTCAAAATAAAAAAATTTGTAAGAATGACTAAACAAAAAAATACTCCGTATTTTACAAGGGTCAAAAACAAATTGTCTATTTTACATGGACCAAAAACATATTTAACCCTTCCAATTTTAACCTCAAAAATATACATTTCAAACATACAGTATTATCGTATCTATAAATAAAATGGTTGAAAAGTGGCGGCAAAATTGGGGTCTCTCAAGCATAACTTTATTTTCAAAGAACTGATGTTACGCAATATTTATTTAAACATTTCCATTTTACCCATTAAAATTATTTAATACCACTTCGCTTTAAAAGTACATAATACTCCGTAGTGCTCCCTCTGTCCCAGAATATAAGCAACATTACGCTAAACGAAGTAATTTTTTGAATTTTTTGAATCCATTTTATTTAAATAATGGTCTACAAATAAAAAATAAAATTTACATATTCAAAAATTACGTCAAAAGTTCTACAAAACAAGTGGTGACAAGAATATTTTGGCCTTGTTTGGATACTAGCAGTTGGCAGTTGGCTGTTGGCTGTTTATGTTAGCTGATTTGAATGGCTGATTGAGTTAGCTGTTTTGACCGGCGGTTTCTGTTAGCAGTTAAATTTTAAGTGTTTGGCAACTTTAGCTGTTTATAGTTAGCTGTTTGTAAATAAAATTACATAAAAGGACATCACTCCATTTATGGTATATTTTATTTTACAATTTTTTTAAATATCATATCATAAATATATTTTTTTAAAATTAAAAAAATTAAATAAAAAATTATATATATATATATATATATATATATATATATATATATATATATATATATATATATATATATATACTCCCTCCGTCCACAAATAAACTTTACGTTCACTATTCACAAGGTCAAATTTTATTCACTTTGTTGGCCTATTTTCATCACCCAGTTGATAAAATAATATAGTCATGTCACCTCTAGTTTTGTAGATCTTTTGATATAGTTTTTTAATATGTAATTTTTATTTTTCAATTCTACACCATTTTTCATATAAAATGATTTGAAAATAACTTCAGTAAAAAATTGTAACGCGCAATGTAAATTTTATTTGTGGACGAAGGGAGTATGTGTGTGTGTGTGTGTGTATATATATATATATATAGACATGATATTTATTTTTCATTTTTTTACATGTAAAAATTAAATCTTTACTATATGGAATATTAAATTTTAATTTCATTTAATTCATAATAAATTATAAATATAAATTTTTTAATGAATTATAAATATAATTTTTTTAATTTCATTTTATTTTTTCGTGTTTAATTTTTTTAACTTTTATTTTATTTTTTACATATATTATAAAATATCTTCCAACAAAAATGATTTTAAAAAAAATATTTTTCCTAACCGCCAAGTCCAAATGCTACTCACCTTGGCATTTCAGATTTTGGCTTTTCGGATCAAAATGCCAAGTGAAAAAGTCATTAGCCAAACAATGATTTTGGCGGTTCGCTTGGTTAAAAAAGCCAAAGTCAGTCAAAGATGCCAAAAGCTATCCCAAATGCTGTTTTTCCAAACAGGACCTTTATTCTATCAAATAATCAATGAAAATGCAAAAATAAATAAAAGTTCCCGTGATTTTCAAATAGTGGAGTGTTGTTTATGTTTTGGGACGGAGGGAGTATATATGTTATACCAATATCAAATCATACCAATATATGAAAGGGCGCCAACCCTGTTGTTGATGTGCCAAAGATAAGGATTTTTTTATAACTAATCTAACAATTATTTAACTCAAAAGTTGATAAGCTTTATTAAATTTAATGAAACAATAACAACAATCTAGTAGAATCCACAAAAGGAGTTTGAGCAGGGTATGTGTATGCAGACTTTACCCTTACTAAAAATAGAGAGACTAATTCTATCATAATTACCAAATGTATGAAATGTAGCCTTGAAGTACATTACCGTAAATTCTAAAGACCCTTGAAGTATATTTCAGACAATGTAGGATGTCAAAGTTCTTACTTTATTTATTATACTTAACACACATCATTTAATACATTCCATCTATTTTCATTAATGATATTTTGGTAAAGTTTCAATTTTTTTTAACTCTCCTTAAAAACCACAAAAAAATCAAAATGTGTCATTGGGTATCACTGAAGTCTGGTTCCAATGAATGCTGGTTAAAGTATTTTTGCCCACCTTACCCGGTTGAATAAATGGAAGAGGAATGTACTTAAATAGTACTAAAACATAATGACTTTTTCTAAATAGAACCACATGTGTTTTTCTTCCTAATGTTACACTTTTAGTCATTATGCATTAGTCATTATTCAAGTAAATATTTGTCATCACTTGACATTATGGACATTATTAAGTGCTATTTAAGAAAAATGACTTAAGTTTTAGTGCTATTTAGTGCAAATATTTCTAAATGAAATGCAAGATATATGTGTGTGAGCGCGGACTTTACTTACTCTTGCCTTAGATTGCCCAACGTGATGCCGCCGGAATAAAAACTGCCTGTTTAAATTGCTCACTTCTATCGTGTCCATGTCGATCTGTAAAATCCACAAATTAAATTGTAACTCTACACAAAATTGTTCCATCAATTGTACGTGGAAATAGGAAAAGCCACAATGCCAGACCAACAATTAATCAGAAAAAACTCACAATGTGGATGTCCTGAAAGCCGGAAAGAGCAAGGGTTTTCAGAAGCTCGCAGCCGATGCCGCCGGCACCGACCACCACCACTTTCGGCCGCCGCTAATCAATTGAGGCAAAACCAGTCAAAAAAAAAAAAAAGATCACCATTAGTTAATTCCGGTCATAAAATCGCGACAGGAAGCCAGCGTGCGCGGTTGCGTACCTCGGTTGCAGAGAACCGCTCCTCTGAAGCCATTGGAGGTCCGGTTCGGATGGGCGCTGCTGGGAAATGATGAGTTGTGCCCGTCCTGCGCTGTGCATTTATTAATTAGAGAGCGAATTAGAACCGTTTTCTTTTTAAAGCGGAGGAGGATTCGTGGAAAAGGGGAGCCCCCGGAGTTTCGGTCGGCGCACACACCGAGACGCTGGCCGCCGTGCGGTTACTATTTGACGTTTGGAGCTTCGAGGGGAAAATGCGGGAGAACAAAACAAACCTCTTCTGCGTGCCTCTTTTTTTAAACTAGACTTGATGGTATTTATTTTCAAATTAATTAATTTGATAGTAGGGGTTAAATTTAAAAATAAAATTTATTTTGTAAAAAAACAATATAAAAAGTTCTACAAAACTTAGAGGGGACCAAACTATATTATTTCATGAAATGTATAATAAAAAAATAAATATAAAAACATAAGTAAAGTTTGACTCTGTGAATAATGTATGCAAGATCTATGGCGGACAAAGTTAATAAATAACATAATATTTTAAATATTTATTACAATATAAATCTAATAAATTATTTCTACAACAAGATCTAATATTAATTTTATTTATTTAACAATAAAAAATTGTTAATTTTAACAAAAATAAATCAAAATTGGGCAAACACTAAAATTAAAATTGGCCAAACACTCTAGGTTGGAGTTACTTTTAGCATTCAGTTAGGAGTTACTATTCCGATCCATTGATTCGGTTGGATGACTACAACCATTCAATACCATATCGTAAAGCTTTGAGAGTTTATGAAATGTTTTATTATAAAAAATTTATTCTCTCCGTTCCCAATTTAATTACAAATTGAAGTTTACGAGCTGAGGAAAACAATTTTCACTTTTTGAAATCATATTATTTACATATCAGTATATTAATAATAAATAAAAATTACATATTAAAATTTTACGTCAAAAGTCCTACAAAACAAGAGGCGACAAAAATATTTTATTTTATCAAATACTTATTGATATCGCGGAAATAAACAAAATTTATCGAGAGGAGAGAGAAAAAAAATTGTAATAAAAATGGAGACACGGATGGAGTATATTTATTGAAGGTAAAATGTTTGAAGCATTTATATGCTTTTTTAGGATACGTGTATTCAATTAAATAACACTTACCCCTCGGTTCACCAAAACAATTCTTCTTTCATTTTTTTTTCCATCAAAACACTTTTACTTTCTATTAAAAATTACTTACTCTTACTTTTTTTATACTCTACCTAGCACATCAGATTATATTTTTTCTCTAATAATGTATATATCACATAATACTTTTACTCATTATATTAAGAGTAAAATTGAAAGTCAATTACAATTTAATACTTTCTTAATTTGGTCTTTGGTCAAAATTGGAAGAATTTTCCCAAATAGATGGAGGATATGAAATAAAGTCTTGTGGTGAAACAAACCACTCTCCTACGCTTCGAGAAGAATCAGTGAAATGCGTGCTAAAATAAGACCCATAGCTTCATCATACTATTATTAATTAATATTTCATCACCATAAAATAAGCATTCAAAGAATAAATAAAATATTTCTATATTATTTTAGATAATCAATGAAATCATAATTAATACTCCCTCCGTCCCTATTCCTTTTCTTGTTTTGACTTTCAACAAAATTAAGGAGCCAAATTTTTTGCATTGACTTGACAATTTTTACCCTCAACCCTAATCTAATAATGGAAAGCAAATAGTGTAAAGTAAATTGCATTTAATGTGTAGTGTATTTGTCCAAATGTGTAAAGTAAATTGCATACGAGTGAATGGATGGATAGGGTAGGTGGAGGGGTTTGGGCTGGTTGGGTAGATTTAATTAGGGTAAAGGGTATTAGGGTCTAAATATGAGAAAAGTGAAATACTTTTTGGGATAAAAAAAATAAAAGGGGAAAGACTTTTTGGGACGGATGGAGTAATAAATTATATATTTTTCAACATTCTCCCTTCAATTCACATTGTGGCAAGTGCCTTTATATAGAAAAAAGTTACTCCTTCCGTCCGGAAATGTTCTTCCCGTGTTGACTTGACACGCTTATTAAGGAATAGTAAAAAATGCAAAATTTTCAAAAATGCACATACTATAAACTTTTAAATCTCCTTTTATTATTAAAAAAGTATTAAAAAAGTAGATTTGTGATAAAATAGAAGGGTATTATTGATATTTAGCCTTAAAAAGCATACTAAAAAAGGAAATGAGAAGATTATTTCCGGACGGACCAAAAAGGAAAATGGGAAGAATATTTCTGGACGGAGGGAGTATGTCTTTTAAAAATAACCATGTCTCTATCTTTTCTTACAGTCATATCTATTCATTTAAAAAACTTCTAATTTGAATTCCAAATAAATATTCTAAAGTTATGTCATTTCAGAATGAGTATTTGTCTCTAATAAAAGTTGTGATCATTCATTTCAAGTTCAATTTTGAATTCAAAATAAATATCCAACAAGCCACACAAGCGTGTTTTCATATGCCTACCGAAACACAAGAATATCGGCGGACTGAAGAGTAGATCTCCCTTGAAGCGGATTCATAAGAAAATTCATTAGTGCCTCCCACTTAGCCGAAATCCAAGCCTGCTTTAGAACATCACATAGTACATCGAACATTCGTGACTAAATTATGAATGTATTTAAACGCGGGTAACTCCTTGCAATATATGAAGTGAATGTTCCCCAGAACTATCTAAACAAACCTAGTGACAAACTAGATATGGCTTATCAATTTGAAATTTAGAGATCAATTTGGCATCACGTGAACGAAGTTTTGTGGTTATAGTATTTTCAATTCCGTTATATTATGTTTGTTTGAATTTGAAAGCCGCACGTATGACTTTGTATTATTTATAATGCATGCATGATTTGTTATTATTTTAAAATTTGAAAGATGTTATGTTTTAGAGAATTTTGTAAATTTTTAATTGACAACTCTACTAATATTAAAATTTTAATTTTCATGGTAGTATCAAGTTGGTTTTGGGGAGTTGTATTTTCATGATCTTAATGTGTATATGTGAAGTGTAGACCTTCTCACACTTTTCATGAGTGACATGGGAATCTTTTTCTAATTGACCCACATGTTTGCAACGATACTTTGATGGTTTACACTGACACAAAATGTTAGTGGGATCGAAAAATCTTGCATTAACATTTTGTACTAGTATAAATTGTCAAAGTGTCCTACAACTTGAGATATAACACTACAAGTAATTTTTCCGTGACAATTTGACACTAGTTAATATGGATGCGAAGTGCATGCGTTTAACACTTTACTAGTATTTTAGTAAATCTAATACGGACTATCTAAAAAAGAAAAACACTTTAACTATTTGATGGTTATGAAAAATATTTTAATTTATTTCTTGAATCTTAAATAGGTTGTTAATTCAAAGCATTCATTTTGTTAACTCTATCCATCATACGCAAGCGTATATGCCTTGTCGAGTTGTCGAGCTAGCTGTAGATAACGTTGAACTCCATATAGCATAATCACACACGCATAAATGCATAATAATGATATGGGCTGGCTTATTATATATCCGTTAACCTTTTTAAAATACTATCTACATCCACGACTATTTATTCATTTGACTTTTTATAGTAAAAATTGTTAAATTTTGATCGTTGCTGAAGTAAAATTGATACTCCTATCAAAATTGAAACCAAAATAATTTTATTAGATTCATTTTTAAAATACTTTTTAAATATTATTTTATCTAATTAATATATCATATAATATTTATTTATTAAGGCACCAATTTAGTAACAACTCGGTTCGTTAATCCTTGACTATAGTCTATTAGACATTTGTGGTTATTTTGACAATAAACTTAATATACATTAAAATAAATAAATGATACGGAGTATAAAATTCATTATACCAAAATTATATTTTAAAATAAACTCAAAAATATTAAATTTACATCATTATAACTTAATATAGTTATGAGACAAATCCTAGTCAAAGTAACCTCAAAAGTAGAAAAAGGATGATAGTTTTGAGACAAAGGGAATATGTGTGTGTTTCTATAATTTTAGGGATCGATTCTTGTGAGAATTGACCCTGGTGAAAGAAATGAAAACGGTACATTTTTGTTCGTGAATAAGGCCGGCCAATAGGGGGATAAAGTGTCTGCTCGGACCGGGCCCAAGTATTTAAGGGGCACAAAAAAATTTTCACACGAGCTCACATATTTTTAAATTTTGGCATCTAAAAAATAAAAAACTGTGTATTTTAAATTATCTATTGATATATGATGTGTTTGATAAATGTTTTCTAACTATAAAATATCTCTTTTGAGAGAAAGATTTTAGTTTTAATATTCATGTACATGTACTAAAATTTATATAAAATAAATCGTTATATAAATTTTTTTATATAAAAATTTATACTTTTTATAACTAATTATGTATGAAACATATTCTAAAAATATATTTTAAAATGGTGTAACATATAAACTCCAAATAAATACAATCATTAAATAAAATATATTAAGATTTTTAATCTATATACTCCCTCCTTCTCAAAAAGATTATAATAGTTTGACCTTTTTGGCAAAACTATGTAACACTTTGATTACAAATTAAATACAGTTTTAAATAATTAAATGTCATAAAAACTTGAAATATGAAAATAATATTTTAAATACATACATTTTTTCTAAATTTACATTATAATTAAATATAATATACTTTTTGTACACTTTGTGGTCAAAGTATAGAGCAACTTGACCAGAAATATCAAATTGTTATCAAATGAAATAATAGTAAAATTTGATTTAATTATTGAAAAAATAAAATTGAAATGCCAAATAAACAAATTAAGTAATGATAAATCATTGAAAGATACGTATGAGGTATATGACCTATATGCCATGTGTTATCCTACAACAAAAACAAATTTAGTTTATTGAATTTAATTTGTTGAAATATTATATAAAAAATTAAATAATGTTGCAAAAAAAAAATTTTGAAGTAAAATATATAGTTAATAAAATATAGTTATCTTTTAGAAATAACAAAATAAAATAAATGGGGGATTCTTTTCAAAAATATATAAAATGCTAGAATTTTAATTAATAAAGTTATAATATTTTTCTTTGAATAATCCTAAAATTATGCATATATATATATATATATATATATATATATATATATATATGATTGACTCCGGTGAGATGACATCTTACGATGAGATGACATCCTACGGTCAGATGATGCAAAGCTCACCATTGCCAACTTCAAAGCTCACCAAGGACAACTACAAAGCTCACCAAATTGTAAGGCAAAGCTCAAAATATTTTTTCAACACTTTGAATTTTTTTTGAAAATATAAAATCAAAGAAAGGCATGCTGACTGGACTTTAATCGTTGACCGAGACCTTTAACCGCCACCTGCCACTGCCAGACACCAGAATCTGCCGCCGCCGCCGGCAGCCGGATTCCGCCACTGTCCGCCGGTCGCCGGAATCCGCCGACGGTCGCCGGAATCTGCCGCCGCCCCGCCGCCAGTTGCCGGCAATCGCCGCCGCTGACTGGTGGTTGACCGGTGTTGCTATTTTATTTTTTATTAATTTTAAATATTTATAATTTAAAAAAGGTGAGTTTTGGTGTTCAAAGTGGTGAGCTTTACTTTATTTCTAGGTGAGCTTTGCATTGTCTATTGGTGAGCTTTGTAGTGTAGTGTGGTGAGCTTTGCATCATCTCACCGAAGCATGTCATCTCACCATAATGTGTCATCTCACTGAAGTCAATCCGTATATATATATATATATATATATATATATATGTATACATATATATATGTGTGTGTGTGTGTGTGTGTGTATATATATATGTATATGTATAAGTATATGTATATGTATATGTATATGTATATGTATATGTATATGTATATGTATATGTATATGTATATGTATATGTATATGTATATTTATGTGTGTGTGTGTGTGTGTGTGTGTATATATATATATATATATATATGTTTTCTAGGGTTCGACCCTGCCGCAACTGAGGTAGGAGGAGGCGTGGGAGGTATTGTTGTTGCTGTCGTTGTGTTTGAAGGTTGGAGGAGGTGGCGACAACGAATTGAACACTATGTTCTTCTTTCAGAATGAACACTAATGAACAAACTTTTAATGAACACTACGTTGTTCGTAAATGAATATTGTAATTGCAAAGAATAAATGTGTGAAAATAAACAGTACGATGCTTCAGAACGAACACTTCTTTATTCGTAAATGAATATTATAATTGTATTGAATAAATGTGTGAAAATATATACTACGTTGCTTCAGAATGAACAGTACGTAATTCAAAATAAAATTAGGCGGGTGTACCTAGTTCTAGGCACCACCACACGAGACGTTCTCCTCCACGGAATATGGATTATATTATAGATGTATTTGTAATTGTTTTTTCTTTCGATCTTTTCTAAAGGTCATAATATATTTATGGAAAATGCTAGGGGTACACCTTTGGTGTACCCCATTTGTCCCCCACCCCCTCCATAACCACTCAAATAGGCAAGAAAATTAAAACAAAATAAGTAAATAAAAATCAAATCCAAATGAGTGGTTATGGAGGGGGTGGGGGACAAATGGGGTACACTTTTGGTGTACCCCTATCATCTCCCTATATTTATTTTGATTCTTTACTGAACTTGTAGACGTGGATAAGTTAAAAAGAATACTTCTTCCGTTCCAAATTGGATTACAAATTTCAATTTATGAGGCAAAATTTTGTATTTTTAAAAATCAATTTATCTAAAATTTGTTATAAAAATAATTAATAAATTTACATATTAAAAAATTATCTCAATCAAGCATGAAAAATTATTTTATTTTATGAAATAATCAATGAAAATACACAAACAAACAAATATTATCAACATGTAGGTACTAAAAGAATTTGTAATCTATTTTAGGAGAGAGGAGTATTTAAAATACATATATGACAATCTAGCTACTACATTTAAAAAGTCTTTCAAAAATAATTTCAAACATTGTCATTAGAGTTACAAATTTACGGATAATAGCATGCGTGTCCCCGTGGTTTATAAAAGGAGCGCCGAAACCCTTCTACTTTCAAAAGTTATTTATAAAATCTCTGTGGTTTTTAATGTTGGAATTTTTGGAATTTTTAATTGGCATTAAATGGACCAACTTGGGTATATATTTGTCAATAGGTCCACTAACGGTTTTTACCGTTAATTAATGGACGTGTGTTCTCTTAAATGAGATAAATTAAATGTTTTGACAATTTATACGCCAAAAATGGTAGAGGGTGAATGAGAAATTGATTCTCAGAGTTAACCCGTTACGTAATGTTTAAAATTATTCCACTTTTACGGAGTTAACTGGCCATTAATCTCCAATTAAATAGGAAGAATTTTAAACATTATGGGTGTAACCCCCATGTTAATGCTGGTATTAACACACCATTAAAAATATTACTAATGATGGTGAGTCATGGCTATTGAATGTGCCTTCATGGCATATAAGTTACAAAATGAAGAGCCATGAAAATGCCTATTTAAATGGACGGACTCTTCTAATTTTTTGAGAGCATCCATACGTGGGAAGTAAAAGAGGAGAAGGAAAAAGTTAACACTTTTGTCCTTATTTAACTTTGAGGAGAGCTCTTGGTTTTCTTGCCAATTTTTCCGGCGATTACCTTCATTTTTTCCGGTCGCCAACGTTCCTACGTTGTTCTTGTTCGTTGGTGTGTGGTTGGTCCGTACAATCTCCACACACGATAGCGGTTTTATCCTGAGAGGAGAGTGCCCACGTTTTCCGGTACGGTAGGCGGGCACTACTACCTTAAGGACAGCTCCGGCGACTCCGCTGCCCTTCCGTGGTGTTTTCTTTGCAGGACTAGTTTATAAAGACCTCGCTGCATTCTGTCCTAGTGCATAATGTCCTCGCAGCCCTGTGCGTAACGTCCTTGAATCGCTGTCCAGTGCTTAAAGACCTCACTGTCCAGTGCTTAATGTCCTCGTACAACAAGGCCATTTGAAGATATAAATTTTTATTTTCCAACTTTGTTTATTTTGTAATATTCTGAATAAATTATAAATTCAGAATTTTATTTATTTTTATTTTCGGGGCCGTTCATCTTCCCCGTCTGTTGTAATCCGTACGAGAATTGTAACAATCTTAAGGTAGTAGTCATATCCGTGCGCAATGGCGGGTATGGACGGATTCAGTTTTGACGCTCACACCGGAAACGGGAGTAGTTCCGAGACTCCGGTTGTGAACGTTTCGGCTGGATTGGGTGGCTCTGTAGGGCAGACCACTCCGATCAACATTCCTTTCGGATCGAGTGCGTCCATGGGGTCCACTCCGATCACCACCTTCGTTGGATCGAGCGCGACTATGGGGTCCGCTCCGGTCACCTCAGTTATTGGACCAACCGCGGCTACGGCCACAATGGTCACCCCACTCAGACCGAATATGGCTTCGGCCATACCGGTCATTCCCTCACTTGGACCGAACACGGGTGTCTTCACATCCGCACCTGTCGGACATCCTACTGTCATGCTACCTGCGAACTCTGTCAAAGAATTGTTACAATTCTCGTACGAATTACAACAGACGGGGAAGATGAACGGCCCCGGAAATAAAAATAAATAAAATTCTGAATTTATAATTTATTCAGAATATTACAAAATAAACAAAGTTAGAAAATAAAAATTTATATCTTCAATTGGCCTTGTTGTACGAGGACATTAAGCACTGGACAGCGAAGACGTTAAGCACTGGACAGTGGGGTCCTTGAATCGTTGTCCAGTGCTTAAAGACCTCACTGTCCAGTGCTTAACGTTCTCGCTGTCCAATGCTTAATGTCCTCGTACAACAAGGCCATTTGAAGATATAAATTTTTATTTTCCAACTTTGTTTATTTTGTAATATTCTGAATAAATTATAAATTCAGAATTTTATTTATTTTTATTTCCGGGGCCGTTCATCTTCCCCGTCTGTTGTAATCCGTATGAGAATTGTAACATTTAAATGGTGCACAAACGCCCCTTCTTGCCTACTTTTAGACATAAAATGATATTTCTGCCCTTTGTTTTTCTCATCTTCAAGTTTCACTCTTTTATTTACATTTTTTTCTATACAAATAATTAAATAAAATAAAATACACGCCATCTTTCTCAAATTAAAATGTTTCATTTATTTAATTTTCAAAAAAATAATTTTGGAAAGTACTTTCTCCGTTCTAAAAAAGAGTTCATATTTTGACTATGTGTAAAAATAAAGAAATGTTACGGAGTAAATTATAGTTAACTTCCAATTTTGCCCTTGATATAATAGATAAAAGTAAGATATGATGGATAGATTATTAGAGAAAAAGTATGATGTGATGGGTAGGGTGTGAAAAAGTGAGTAAAAGTGGTTTTTTAATAGAAAGTGGAAGTGTTTTGTTGGAAGTGAAAAAAATGAAAGTGAAAGTTTTTTTTAGAACGGAGTGAGTAAGATAATTTTTTTTAAAAGTAAAATAATTTTTTAATGACTTTAAAAAATGAAGAACAGAAAGATGAAATAAAATATGGAGTTAAAGAAAAAGACTGTTTTTTTATATTTTTCTTTCTTTTCATTGCCTTTTTCAATTATTATTTTACTTTGTACATAATATTTTATTTTTCATTTTCTTTTGTAACATTCTCCAAAAAAAATCTTTTGTTTTCAAAATATATTATGGAAAACTTTAATTTGAGATGAGAAGCATATATTTTAGAGAAATTTACCTAAATAGGACTAAAACATAATGACTTTTCCAATATAAGACCATATGTTTTTATTTCTCAATGTAGGACCTTTAGTTATTATCAAGTAGTCATTATTCAAGTAAATGTCCATCACTACTGGACATTATTCATTTCACTAGGTCATTATTAAGTCCTATTTAGGGAATAAAAAAGTTTAAGTCTTACATTAGAAAAGTCATTATGTTTTAGTCTTATTTAGTGCAAATTTCACTATATTTTATTATATATATTTGTATAAAAAAATGATATATGGAAAATTCAAGATCGAGGAAAAGAAAAGACATAAATGTCATTAAGGGAGGCATGTGTACTCTATTTAGAAACAACATGGACTTTACAAATAACTTTTGAAAATAGAGATGATTTTTGACACCCTTTTTGTAACCCACAGGGGACACCCATGTTATTAGCCCTACAAATTTATGTCTTCTAATATTCTTAGTAGAGGGATATCTTACACCAATTAATTGGTGTAACATTATTGTTACACCAATTCAATTAGAATAGCTATGGTGTTTTGATTATAAAATTGATAGTTCGTACCCATTAATATCCCGCCAAATCCCCATACTCGTCTTGCCCCTAATGCACCCCCACATTCCCTCTAATTGCACCAACTAATTTTTTTTGTTGGTTTTATGGTCAATTTTTGGACTCAAATATTGATTGGTGCAATTGTAGAGGATGCGGGAGTGCCTTAGGGGCAGGCCGGATATGATGGTTTACCGTAGGTAGCAATAATTAATTTTACGGTCAGAGTACCGTATGTGATTCAATTGAATTAGTGTAACAATCTCATCCCAATTGATTTGGTGTAAGATTACCCCTCTTCTTAGTATTACCTCCAGAACAACAACCATACTCTTTCAATTCCGTAAAAGATGTACTCCGTATTTTTCTTGTTCATTTTATGGTTAAAAAACTTTACCTTCCATTTAAAGAAAGGAATTAATAGCTTATACCTCTTTTTTTCTAACATTAGTTTTAAGAGGGATGTTAGGGGTACATTAAAATGTACTCCAAATGTACACTACCCTCTTCATTACCACTCATTTTTATTTATTTTTATCTTTTTTATTTTACATGCCAAAATATGTAGCAATGGAGGGGGTGATGTATATTTGTGGTACACCTCGATGTACCCCTAGCATTTTTGTAGTTGTAGTTTTAATCGTAACGTTTTTACTTTTGAACATTTTTTTCAAATAATTACAATTCAAACAACTATGCAAGGGGAGCACCAAAAAGTGTGTCCAAGTTATATCCTACAGGATTGCACCGGTATTTTAAATGTTCATACTGACACAAAATGCTAGTTCAATCAATAAAATTTACATTGGCATTTTATGTTAATGTAAACTATCACACTAGGACAAAGTATCAATACGTGCCTTCGGAATATGAAGTGGTGTATAATTTTTGTTGTATAAATATGTTAAGAGGGTGTTTGGGAGTGATTAATTTATGGTTAAAGTGATTTCCACAAAAGCTAAAAGTAAAAACACCTCATGTTCTATGTACAAAATAATGGTTGTGAAAAGTAGAAGCTGACATGTCAAACAGAATAAAACCACTTCTACTCAAAGCAGAAACTAAATTATTAAAAGCAGCCAACGGCCAAACAAAATTATTAAATCTTCAAACAAGAAAGCTTTTTTTGCGGGACAAGAGGAATAATAACAACATATTCAAGCATTTAAGTCAAGATTACTCATGCGCCGTAGAGCCCCGTACTGTGCTACAAATACAAGGTGGATCTGAATATGAAAAGAGGATTAGAGTAACAGACCAATTGATTCTTCGGGTTTTATCAGTTAAATGTTTTATTTGAAAAAAGACGATTAGTACCCGGCGGAGTTAGAGGAAGAAGCGTGGGCTGTGCAACCCACTATCAAAACGCCATTTCACACTTGACTACTTCAAGATTGTGATAGACTTCTTTCTTTCTTCCTTCCTTTCTTTCTCTCTGGTCATGCTTTATATACTCTCTCTCTCTCTCTCTTTCTGTGTATATATATACATACACATACATACATATACATAATAAAGTTTCACGAATAAGCAAAGTATACTTTTTTTTTCCAGAGAGTCACGGGCGGGCAAGAAGGCGTTTTGGGTGTTTTGTCCAAACATTCTGAGCCCTTGTGCCAGTGGCCATTTGATGCCTCGAAGCAGGGGAAAATGACAGCTAAAGATTGGGTCTTGCTGCGGTTAGTGTTGATTATGGTCGCTTTTCAGCACATTCATTGCGGCTCAGTTTCTTATGACGGAAAATCTCTCATCATCAATGGCCAAAGAAGGATTCTTGTTTCTGGGTCCATTCATTACCCAAGAAGCACTCCTGAGGTATTACTCCGTATTAAAGTTCTCAACTTTCTTGTTTTTTTTTTTAAAAAAAAAACTGGTTTTGGTCATTTGGGTGGCTAGCTAAAGGCTATTAGAAGGTCTGTATTTGAAAGCATTATGCTGCAGATGTGGGAGGACCTCATACAGAAGGCCAAAGATGGAGGCTTGGACGCCATTGATACCTATGTGTTCTGGAACATCCATGAACCCACACCTGGAAATGTATTTTTCTGGTCACTTTCTTGATTTGGCTTGCCCTATAGTTGTGGTTTATTACTGATGTGCTTTTTGTTTTTGGTTCCTTGTTGTGGTTTAGTATGATTTCGAGGGAAGAAACGATTTAGTTCGATTCATAAAGCTAATCCAGAATGCGGGGATGTTTGTGCATCTCCGCATTGGGCCTTTTATCTGCGGAGAGTGGAAGTTTGGGTAGTTTCTCATCTCTATTTCTGGATATATTCAGAAACTCTCCTTCTAAAATTCCAATTTTCAAACTTCAATTAAATATTTTTATTACAGGGGGATCCCTGTTTGGCTAAAATATGTCTCTGGTTCAACTTTCAGATCCAATAGTGAACCTTTCAAGGTCTTTCTTGTCTGTTTGTCTCAATTCAATATCTGTTTTTTGGGTATTAGACGTTGTAATACTCAACCTCTATTTTATTTTATTTTATTTCATTTAGAGGGCGATGCAAGGTTTTGTCCAGAAAATTGTTCAAATGATGAAAGATGAAAACTTGTTCCAGTCACAAGGTGGTCCCATCATTCTCTCTCAGGTAAAGTTTCCTTCTTTATGTATTTCACTTGTTACCTTAAACTTCCATGGGATTACTTGAAAGGATAAATTTCTCAGATTCCTTAAAGAAGTCTGGGGAATTTAAATACTGGGTACTGTTTGCTTAGTAAAAAAAATGGACACAGATTGAGAATGAGTATGGCTTAGCAAGCAAGGCGTACGGGGCTGCGGGCCATGATTACATGACTTGGGCTGCAACAATGGCGGTCAATCTGAATACTGGTGTCCCATGGGTTATGTGTAAGGAAGATGATGCGCCGGATCCCGTGGTATGCCGTGTTATTATAAAGTTTGTATTAGTCTAATCTCCCTTTGAGGGCTAATCACAATTGATTATCTTATTCATCATAGTTATACTTATAGCTATAACATGGATGTGTTATTTGCCTAATTGGTAGCTTCTCTCTAAAGAAAAGGGTGGAGAAAAGGATTGTTTTAGCTAACACAAATTTTGGATTTTTTTTCGATAAATAAAATCTTTGCCTTGAATATGTGTGTTTTTTTGTGCATTGACCACAATGATATGCATGATCTAACAAAAACCCATTCCTTGTTTTCACTTTTGACCACAGATAAATACTTGTAACGGGTTTTATTGTGATTATTTTACCCCTAACAAACCTTACAAGCCCATAATGTGGACAGAGGCATGGACTGGCTGGTAATTTCTCAAAGAATCAGATAAAAAAACATGTTTCTAATATCTTTACTATGGAGAATATGTGAAGTCAAATGTTTTTCCCTTGATTTTATGCTTGTTAAGGTTTGAAGAGTTTGGATCCGCGATTCACCATAGGCCAGTTGAAGACCTCGCCTTTGCAGTGGCCCGGTTCATCCAAAAAGGAGGCTCCTTTGTAAACTATTACATGGTCAGTGACATTTTTGCGGCGTGATTTTTGGGTCACCCAAACAGGCACTTAATTCTTATTGGAATGTAATAACTGAACTGGCAGTATCACGGTGGAACCAATTTTGGGAGAACCGCCGGAGGCCCTTTCCTTACCACTAGCTATGATTATGATGCTCCCATTGATGAATACGGTAAGACCAAAGATAATAGCTCTAAAGCAATCACTTGAAAGAAACATAAGTTTTGATTTTAACCAAGTGGTTTTTTCCTGTTCATATTGGAATAGGTTTAACTAGACAGCCAAAGTATGACCATTTGAAGGAATTTCACAAGGCTGTTAAGCTAAGCGAGATAGCTTTAGTTAATGGTAATCAAACTGTCATACGATTAGGAAGCTACCAAGAGGTTATTCCTATATCCCTGCTTCTCTTCTACACAAGGTTATAGATTAATTGCATTTTTATCTGCTTTTATGAATTCTATGCGCACGTTAAGTAAAATTACTCGGGTAAATGTGAAAAATGTTACTTTGATGCATTTTCTTGCAGGTACACTAACTAACTTCCTTCTTCAATGTCTTCTCCATTTGCAGGCACACATATTTAGTTCCACGTCCGGAGGTTGCGCTGCTTTTCTATCAAACTTCCACTTGAATTCGTCAGCCACTGTGACATTCAATAACATGCACTATCAGCTTCCACCTTGGTCAGCCAGCATTCTTCCAGATTGCAAAAATGCTGTCTTTAACACTGCCATGGTTCGCAAACACCCTTTCATCACTTTTATTTATATGATACGGAGTACTTTTTATTTTATAAAGAAGTGTTTGGCAACAAAAATCGTGTGTTTATATCTTGGGCTTAAATGAGAAAGGGCTAAAATACTTTTTTGAGGTATGATAGGTGGGAGTGAAGACATCTGAGGTGCAAATGTTGCCTGCTGATATGCCCACACTCTCTTGGGACACATTCACTGAAGACATATCTAATTTGGATACTGATTCAAAGCTTACCGTTAATCGTCTGTTGGAGCAATTAGATGTCACCAGGGATAGCAGTGATTACCTTTGGTACATCACCAGGTAAGGGTGCCTTTCTTAGGCCGAGTTTGGAATGATCTGGTGGTTGGGATCAGATAAAATCATGTTTCGAGTGATAGTCATGGTATATGGATGGGGATTTTATGACGAAACTGAATCTCCTTTATCTTTTTTTTATATTTATTATTCCAAACATGGGTATCACACCCAAGTCCCGGGTGACCTCTTATTCCATTGAGGGAATAAGACGCCATTTTTCAAACAAAGTTAGAGTTTAGAGCATGACTATTGCATTTTACACCTCCTATTAGTACTATGATGAATTGATGATTGTGCACTGCAACAATGACTTTTCAGTGTTGAGATAAGTTCAAACGGAGGCCAACAACCGGTTCTTGCAGTGAACTCTGCGGGCCATGCACTACATGTCTTCATCAACGGGAAATATTCAGGTTCCATATTGTCTGTTTTTGGTTCATTTAGATGAAAAACTGCCGAAAGTATGGGAGGGGAAATAAAACATTTGATCAAACTCATTTTATTTTGCCTAAACCCATTTTATCTACCTATTCCTTTGCATTTTAAGTGGGGGTAATTTTAACCAAACACTGATTGTGTTTAAATTTCAGGGTCAGCCCATGGAACAAAAGAACACCCACAGTTCACATTTACAGCAAGAGTGAGCCTGCAGCCTGGAATGAACAAAATTTCTCTGCTCAGTGTAGCTATTGGATTGCCGGTTCGCTCCTCTGTCCACAATCTAATTATCCCACGTCATATAATGATACGTTTTCTCTAAATTGCTTCGGTTCCTTCATTTTTTTCAATGCCTAAAGAACGACGGTCCACATTATGAGACAAGAAAGACAGGAGTCCTAGGACCTGTGGGACTGCACGGATTAGACAACGTGGGATCATTAGACCTGTCTACACAGAAATGGTCGTACCAGGTCGGGCTGCAGGGCGAAGCCATGAACTTGGTTTCACCAACAGGAACATCATCATCTGTTCATTGGGTTGAAGGGTCCCTACAACAGGTGGCACAACCGCAGCCTCTGACATGGTACAAGGTACACGCAACGTCAGAGTCTTGTGCATACTTTGACATTTTGAGACAACATCAGATTCATCTTTCCCTTTTCTTTGCAGTCTTACTTCAACAGCCCAGGAGGAAATGAGCCGTTGGGATTGGACATGGGCAGCATGGGGAAGGGTGAAGTGTGGATCAATGGCCAAAGCATCGGTAGGTATTGGACAATCGCAGCAGCTGGGGACTGTGGGCCATGCCGGTACGAAGGGGCGTACAGGTCACCAAAGTGCCAGTCTGGCTGCGGCCAGCCTACTCAGCGATGGTATCACGTTCCTCGTTCCTGGCTGAAGCCGACAGGGAACGTGGTGGTTGTTTTTGAGGAGATAGGCGGAGATGCGTCAAGAATCTCTTTCGTTAAAAGAACGCTCGCTTAAGTGTAGAGATGATGATAATCAATGTTAGGCTAGTTCAGTTCATTTCTTGTGCAGCTCGCCATTGTTTTTCATGCATGCCTTCAAGGTGGGTATATTTGTACAGATAGGATAGAATCACCACACTACACACACACACACACTTGAAAATGATTGTCCCACGCACTGAAAATTGAGTGTAAGGGATGAAGTTCAGAAGTTGTAATGTGTTACAGTTTGGTTTGTTTATACATGTATATAATTCTCTTTCTTTTAAATTTAAGTTGTTTGTTTACATAGTCAGATTTTTATTCCTTAATCTATTTTCATTACTTGTTTTGATACAATAATGTAGTAACGTCAATTCTTGTTTTATAGAATATGTAATACAATATACTCCGCATAAAATTGGCCCGGGTCGAGTACTATTTACTTCGAATGTCATAAGATGACTTGGGCTTTCAGACGGTGTTGCGTTTGAAAAATTGGTGGTTTCTACCCTCTGCTCCAATCCCTATGGGGTATGGGGTTAGAAGAGGTAACAACTATCAATTTTTTCAAACGGAGCACGATAGGAGGACCAGGTCATCCTATGACATTGCTCTATATGTCATTTGAACTGTCCTTATACTAGTTTTGAATAAACTAAATTAATTTCGTCAAACAAAAGTAACTTAAATTGAATAAAATACGAGAACATCTAATCTTATTTTCCAGCATCGGGTGCATATTGAAAGTTGAATTGGTTATTAAAAAGAATCCTTAAGGTTTAAACATTTTATTTTATTCGTCATGTGCAAACGGTATATTTCAAGCTTGCGATCTCTTGTTTGAGAAGACTTCGTTACAACATCAAAAAATCAACTTAACTAAAAACTTAAAATTATATTCATAGACTCAAAAAAAAAATTAAATTCTAACAAAGCCAACTACTCCGGATCAATAATACAAAACCACCAATCATGCATACATTCTATGGTACATCCCAAAAACTTTCATCAAAGAAATCAATCCACTTTTCATCCCACGAGAATACTGAGTAAAAGGTCTTCAATTAGGTTGTAGTTCGAATAAATATTAATCATATGCTTTGTAGCACTACATATATAGCAGCGCATCTTATTAGTTTTTGTCTTATGTCCAAGTCATCATGATCAAATAATAATACTCGGTAATATGTTACAAACTTCAGTTGGCATTGCGTCTAAGCTAAACTCAATTCATATATAAATAATAACGTTATTTGAGACTTTGACGCCTCAATGGCTCAATTATACTCATCGTCAAATTATTAGATGAGACTAAAGTTTGACTCATGTTATTTCCTTCCCTTTTGAATATTCCCCATTACCTTTTCACATGATCATCAAATCTTTATCATCCGGATGGAGGGGGTAGACAATAAATATATATAGATTTTGGTTCTGGTGAGAATGCAATCTTAGCAGAGAAATGAGAATGAATCTGGTGCTTTAGATTGTGAGATCTAAGGGTCAAGATTTCATCAAAATTAGATGCACCAAAATGGTGCAAAAATGCATCACGTCGAAATGCACCATAAACCTTTGAAAATGCACTATCTCAAAATTTGAGCGCAGGATGCAATCTGAGCCACACGATGCATCAGATCCGACGGCTAGATTTCATTCTCATTTCTCTCCACAAGGTGCATTCTTACAGGAACCGGCCCCTATATATATATATATATTTACAAACACTTTTTTAACTTTTAGTATTTGTAAATTTAATTTAACTTTTAAGCATGTTAAATTTCTCTTTTTTATTAAAGAAGTGTTTTGTATTTTATAGCATTCTATCATTTTTATTACATTTATACTTTTTTTAAAGTGAAAACTATGAATAGTACTGTAAATTGAAATGGAGAAGTGTGGCTAAAGAACGATAACATTGCACTATTTTGGTTTGGCGTAGAAAAGGAAGGAAATGATGTCATGGCAGTGGAGAAGATGAAGGTCATGTTCTCCTCACCTGATATGAATGATTCTAATCTGATTGGAATTTTTGACCTGATCTAGTTTAGCCTAATCTGACTTAATTTAAATGTAATTATATTTAAACTTATTTCTGATCGACCTGAATGGTCTAGTCAGATCTAATGTGAATTGAAGTGATTCTAAAATCTAAGATGTGTTGCCCAAGGGGCGCCATTTTAAAATCTTTTCCACCTCTAATCGTAGTGGGCCTTTATCTAGGGGAAGGCGCCCAAATGGAACCCGCGAAGCAACTGTAAATCCTTGAACCAACCCAATGCCGCCACTTGTCAGTCGCGTATTGGACCCGAATTGTTTCCCATTCCAAGCAAACTTCCGAGCGAATATGGAGGCAGCAGATCCATCATCTTCCCCCATGCCTTTCTATATATACATACGCCTCTCTACGCCGTAGCTATTGCACGCTCAACAGCTATCCCAATGGCTCTCCGTTCCATTGTCCTACTCTCATTATGCTCCCTCCTAGTGACAGCTTCTCTGTTGGAGCTCGCCGTCGGCGGCGGCGGCGGTGAAGACATTCTGATCCGTCAGGTCGTCGGGGAGGACGACGGCCTGCTGAACGCCGAACACCTATTCGTCTCTTTCAAGGAGCGGTTCGGAAAGGCGTACGCCTCGAAGGAGGAGCACGATTACAGGTTCTCGGTGTTCAAGGCTAACGTGCGCCGCGCAGAGCGCCACCAGCGGCTGGACCCCTCCGCTGTCCACGGCGTCACTCGGTTCTCCGATTTGACTCCGTCCGAATTCCGACGAAACTTTTTCGGATTGAACCGCCGGCTTAGGGTCCCGGCTGATGCTCAGACGGCTCCCACCCTTCCCACCGACGATCTCCCGTCAGATTTCGATTGGAGAGACCACGGTGCCGTTACGTCCGTGAAAAATCAGGTTCGCCTCCATGCGTTTGATTTGAGTATTATCTTTCCCCTCCCCAATTTTGAGCTTCCCCTGTGTTTACGCCCATAGTGTTAACAGTTAACAATCTAATCTAAAGCATTGTATGTTCACATTATAATTTGGGTCATGCTACACTTACACCACAAATTATACCCCATTTGTACAGCGCAGTAATACACAAACATTTTGATGGTTTACACCGGCATAAGTGTTGGTGCGTTAACAAAAATTTACACGGACACAAAGTGTTGGTGCATTAACAAAAATTAGTTTTACACCAACACAAAGTGTTAGTGCAAACCTGCGGGGTACAAAGTGGGGTACAAAAGTTGAGGTACAAATAGCTTTATCCTTATAATTTCACTTTTAAATTCTAATCTTTTATGCATTTACTCTTAGGTATATGGATAAAATTTGAATTGATGAGCTCCCTTATATTTTTAATTGGGTCCCTATAATAGGCAAGTGTTAAAAAAATAACTTAAAAGTCCAAAAGCAGTACCATAGTAGAGAAGAATTTTAGATACATACGGAGTACTACTTTTATACTTGCCTTAACACTATGTTTGGTTCAAGAAATTTGGAAGGGAAAAGAAAAGAAAGTGAAGTGGAAAATAATTTTTCTTGTTTTGTTAAAGGAGAAAAGAAAGGAAAAGTGGAAGGAAAAGAAAATGAGAAGACAAAATATAACAAGTGGAAGGAAAACCAAATTCCTCCCATTTTTTTAGTGAGGAAAATGAGAGAAAACCATTTTTTTCTTTTCCTTCCAAATTCCTTGAACCAAACATAGCATAAAAGTCCCAAAGTAGTAGGAGCACAAAAGTGTTCTTTCATTCTTAAAAATCACAGAATCATCATTTTTAAATACATTAGATTTTGAATGAATTGGACAAATACATATCTACATTCATTTGATTTCCAATATATCTAGAAAGTC